AGTTTCTTTCATCACATAATTTTGATCTCTTTCCTGGTAGATCTTATTTATTCTGTTCCTTTCATACATGCCATCTTCATTTCTACTCTTGCCCTGTTGCTTCTCTGCTGGTTACATTCCAGGAATAACATTTGGCAGACATATCTTGTCCAAGAAAAAAGAAACACTTCATTTACCTGATAGTTTCTACTCTGTCTGCCAATTCTGCCCCTGCCTTCTTTTTCTTTTTCTTTTTCTTTTTCTTTTTCTTTTTCTTTTTCTCCAGGAGTGAAATGAATTTTCAACTGTAGATTGCACAGCTGCCTTTGACACGCAAGTGTACTTAAAAAATATTTTTACTAGGCAAAGATGACATTTCTCAGTTTGCAATGTTATTCCCATTGTAGTGCTTTTGAGTGGTTACAGATGACACTGAATCTCTCTGGAGAGTTTTAGAAGAACAATCCCTGCCTGTTACCCTCAACAGCTCTGTCCCACTGCTTCCACATTGCCAAGGAGAGGTTTATTCTCAGAGTAAGAACTAGAGGACATATCTATTTCCAACACCAAAGAAATCAGCCAGGCATGAACAAAATATTTTTCTGAAGGAATTTCATTTCATGGTCTTTTGGAACAGAAAGTAGCATCTCAACAAGATTATCAAGACTATAACAGACCAAATTAAATAAAACTAGTTTTCCATACTCCTGTACCTATACTGTTCATAAAATGAAGCAAATTCAGTAAGTGTAACCATTATTGTTTTCAATTGGTATTATAGTTGAATAAAAAGGCTGAAAACTTGTACCAGTCTCATAACAAAAATAGTATAATGTGCAGGAGCATTAAAAAGTGATTGAGTTTTTCATTGTAGTCATAAAAATAGATATAATGAAGGCAGTACACCATATCATTTATTCTAAAAGAGACTCAAACCTACTCTTACCTTTCAGTTGTCCTTCCAAGAACAGTGATAGTCTGTCTTCAGACAAATAGAATAAGAGCTATAAAATCAATTTCTCCCGAAGATGTTTATTTTAGACTACAGTTTGGGGCTTGGCGGTCTGTATTAATGTCCTGTACAAGATTAAGCTTGTTATTGATAAACAAAAATAGTAATAGTAACAATCTTGTAAGAAAACATTGGTCTAGAATATCAGGGTATGAGTGAATTCTGTACTACCTTGGGCACATCACTTAAGGCCATACCCCAAAACAAGATTTTGGTGCTTATGTCCAAAATTTTGATCCAAAACATCTTGGTCAGTGGCCACCTAACCCTTAACTTACCAGATGTCTTGGCAGTTTTTGTTTCTGTGCATTTCTAGAACTGCTTCAGCCTGACCAGCTATGAGCCTTTTTCCCATTTAAGCCATTGTATCCATTGACTAGGAGCAGAACCCAAGAGTCCCCCTTCCAAGAGGCCCTCTCTTTCAAGCTCCACGAACATTGCAGTCCTTCCTGAAAAGTGTCATCTTTTCAAGAGGAGCATTGTAGGGTGCCTTCATCTAGAGGAGCTTGTACCTTGGTGATTAGGCACCCTCCTGTGAGATGGGAAATTGGGATTTAAATCTTTTCTGGCTCAGAAAAGACGTTGAGTTCAGGTCTCCCACTTCCTGGATGAGACCTCTAACCAATAGGTTCCTTCATTAAAGGTCATCTTTCTGGCCACTGGATGCTCTGCTGGTGCTCATATTTGAAAAATAAACAGTGAGTTCTGTTCAGCTCTTTGAAAGAGTATCATAGGCACTTACACTCAGGTAAGGATTCTGGACTCCAAGTAGTCTGGACTCCTTTTCATCCCTGACACAGATGTATAAGCTCTGGAGTGGTACAAGAGTTCAGATACTTAATGTGGTTATTGGGTGCTGACAGATGTGCAGCTCCTTGCTGTAACTCATGGCACTTCACAGGAAGCGCCATGAGATGCAGCATTCCCACTGACCTAACAGACATTGGCTGTTGGTACGGGGGGTTGGGGGATCGAGCTCCAGTTTGGAGCAGCTGCATGCCTACAGTCACTCTCTCCTGGCTCCAGCCCTCCCCCTTCCCAGCTCCTGTACCATCTTCAGAATGGGAGGGGGGGAAAGGAGTGAAGGGAGCTTTGTCTGGGGTTTGCCCAGCCTGCACTGGATGGTGAGGTGAGTGGATCACAGACTCTCCCCCACTCACCTCGGTAAATAGCCGAAATGTGTATAATGCAAAGGTTATAAATGTTAACTCAAGTTAGAAATCTTGCTGTCAGATATAGATACAAACACATTGATATTATCATTGGTGTTTATTTCCACAGACTGTTCCTTTCGCATCCTAACCAGCAACATAATATGCCAGTCCTATTACTATTTTGTTCTTCGTTTTAACAACACACCAAATTCAGGCATGGGAGGAGTGATTCATCAGGCCTGCTACTTACTGATTTTGATATACACACTAGAAAGAATGATTCTGATATCTGAGAGATAACAGAAGAAGAAATTTGGATTATATTATCATGGAGACAAAAAAAGGAAGATGAGAAAAATGACTAGTGCTAAACCAAATTTTCTGTCTGTGACCACAAGTATTGTATTGCATGCATTCAAATAATTTCAATGCATCCAATTTTATCAGAGTAGCCACACAAATATTTTTTTTCCTTGACTGAACATCTACTTTGATAACAACAAAAACCCCTTTTCCTGTTGGCCATTGTATATAAAAATGGTAATTTTCTTCTAGCAACTTGTCTGCTAGAGTAGAGTCTATAGCACTCTAGTAAGAGGAGTAGAAGCTTATGAAAATTAATAGTTCTTGCCAGTCTTCCAGCTATGAATGCATTAAAAAATATGTATTCTCTTCTGTAATTTGCTTCCTGAGTAGTTAGGGAACATTTTTAAAGCTAGATATGTTTTAATTAAAATGTCAAATGAATCAAAATGTCTATATTCAATTAGAGAGAGTGTACAGATTGATTTGGGACTGCAAGAGGAAACACATTCTAAGGGTTTGTTAAAGAGCAACATGCATCTTCTTGAAACATAAGCTAAGAGGGAATAAGGTTTCTCCCTTATTATTATACTATTTTTCATTTTGTTTTGGCTTTGGAACACTCCAATAGATTGGCCATGCAGATGTTTAAACTTTTGATGCAGATGAGACATGAAATGAGCATCATGCAAGAACTGACAACTGTATCTCGATATGTTTCTGTGTCCCAGTCTCATTTAAAATCCTTGAAATCTAATCCTTAAATTTCAGCAGAAAAAGACATGACAGTTAACTTTTAGCAGGGGAAGAGCATGAGGAGTGTTTTTGGAGGCATGCTTATTGGCTTTGCCTGCAGTATCGCTCAGTGAACCCTGCTATGTGGTTTCTTCATGCTACGTTTGTCATATAAAAAGTAAAAGAGAGAATGCCTCACTACACACGACCAACATTTTAATAACTCTGGACTACCAAATGAGAAGATTGGCAAATGACTCTCCAGGCAAGAGAGGATTTATCCTTTGATCTGGCTGCAGTCAAATCTGGCCTCCTTTTTTTTTCTCTTGCTACCCACAACAATAACAATTAAAACTGACAGTTATTACGAAGATATTCAGGGTCAGAGTCTGATGTTCGCTGTTAAGAGACTCCACACTATAAAACCTATAGATTCTCAAACAGGTTCATTAGTTTTTCCTTTTACTGAAGCTTCATTTATAAGGCTGTTTACGGTGATGGAATGACTTTTAATTGAGTGATTGAATAGTGGCAAATTAGGAAAATCAAATCATCTAGGACATAGAGACTTTAGCTATTATATACTAAGTGCCATGTTTTCCCCAAGAAGACCTTAAAAGCCATGGCTTGCCATATAGAATTGTAGATAAATTCACCCATTCCCACTATCAGGACATGCCTTATCCCAAAGTAAATTAGAAGCAATATCCCTGGTGGAATTAAAAGTGCACAAGTATTACTTATACATAGATTCATAGATGTTTGGGTCGGAAGGGACCTCAGTAGACCATCAAGCCTGACCCCCTGTCCTGGGTTGGAAAGATTGCTGTGGTTAAATGACTCCAGCCAGGTGCATGTCCAGCCTCCTCTTAAAGATCCCCAAGGTAAGGGAGAGCACCACCTCCCTTGGGAGCCCGTTCCAGATTCTGGCCACCCTTACCATAAAGAAGTTCTTCCTGATATCTAATCTAAATCTGCTCTTTGTCAGTTTGTGGCCATTGTTCCTAGTTACTCCAAGGGGTGCCCTGGTAAACAGAGCATCTCCTATTCCTTGCTGTCCCCCCTCTCCCCATGAATTTGTAGGCAGCCACAAGATCACTTCTCAGCCTTCTCTTGCAGAAGATGAAGAGATTCAGGTCCTTCAATCTCTCCTTGTAGGGCTTTTCCTGCAGGCCCCTAACCATATGAGTGACCCTCCTTCCACATCCCTCTTGAAGTACAAGTACTTATAAATTGTCATCTTGAAATGTGCCATCACCCTGCAGCTGGATTTAATTACACAGAGGGAAATGTAATGCTCTTTTTATGGTTAGAAAAGTGACCTTAAGTAGCTTCAGGTTTAGGTGGGGTAGAGGTGAAAAGTATGGGTTAATTAGGTGGAGACTCAGGAGACCTTTTCAGTTAATAACATTGAAGGTCAACTTGTTCTGGGCTTTACTTTGTAAATCTCTGATCCTGGAAAACAGATTGGTTCAAAGTGTGCTGAATTATTCATTGAGTAGTATTCAGAGTTAGAGCAGAGGTTAGGGTGGCGCTAAGGCACGTGGATGTCAGCCCAGAGGTTGCAAGTTCAAAGCCATAGCAGAAGTGCTCCTGGCATGGCCCTGTCAGAGTCCAACGAATCTGTGAATTCTGCTGTGTCACAAGGACACAGGAAAGGACAGGTTAGAGCAGCTGTAGTGGTTGTGTACAATAGGCACAACAACAGGTAAAGCTTTCCTTTAAAAAAACTGCTTACTGCGAAGGGTTTTTGTGTGTTGAACTTGCTCATCATATTTTTAGTAAAACAATTACTTTGCATTCTTTTTCAATTGCAGAGAAAATCCATTGTTGCAGTTAGTTTCATAGCAGCATTCCTCTTCCTGATCATCGTTCGTCTCACAAATGAAGTGAACTTCCCTTTGATATTAAACTGCTTTGGACAAACAAGTGTCAAATGGATACCATTTTCCTACACCCAAAGACGGACTCTCAGAACCCACTATGGATATATAAATGTGAAAACTCAAGAGGTAAGAACTCATACCAAACCAGTGACTAGAGAACATGTCATCTGTTACTGTTGTAGTGAAATGAACTGTTAAAAAAAATCAAACTACCAAATCAGGAGCTCAGCAAACACATATCTTGCTGCCTTGATAGATGGAAAATGCCCTGAAGAAAAATCTAAGCAAGCAGCATTTTCCAACACTAAGGAAACCTTTTTAAAGTTCCAGTGACTATTTAAATTGTATAATTTATATACGTAGAGCATTAGAACAGCATTGCGCTGGCTCCTAAATTCTGACTAGTTAAAATGACAGAAAAAAATTAACCAACATGAAAATTTTTCAAATTGATTTAAAGCTTGAAATCACTAAAATTCAGAGTCATTTCTGTTGTGTGTGTTCTTTGTACAAAACCTGAACATCTTTTTTTTTTTTCCCCTTGTCCTTTATGTTTGCCTGTGAAGGAGATAAGCATCTGCCCAGAAAGTGTTTGATACTGTGTGTATTTCTAATGGCAAGAAACAAGGGCATCATTCAGTAGAAGTCTATGCAATATAAAGAAAGCATAGAATCAGTATTTTATCAGGTTGTAATTCAAGTATTTAAATATTACATTAGTTATCTTTCAAGTCTAGATTTGCATTTCTAGTTGTCATTTTATGGTGGAACTGTGGTATTTTAATCCTTGCAAACATTAGGTTTGGATTTTACTGGAAAGCCATTTTACAATGTGAAAGAAAATTGGATGTTGTTGTCATTCTTCGTGATAGTCTCTTTCTCTCTATCCATTTTTCTTAACTGAGATCTTGCCCCTTCTGCCTGTCTCTAGCATTTTTTTTCTACTTGTGACAAGCACAAATCTATTCAATGACATTAAAAATTAACCTTTTTTACAAGCTTTTCCTGATAGTTGTTCCTTTATAATACTGCCCTCCCCCCCAAAAAGCATTTACAGTCCCATTTTCTTACTTAGCTTTTTTCCCTCCTTCTTCTTCTTAAGAAAAAGACAGTTCTTACACTCATGTCTGATGTGCTTGAAATACATCTCTGTTAGAGAACAGAAACATTTTCCACTTTGTGAAAAATGTCCTCATTTTTTTTGGTTCAGCTTTATAACTTCACTGGGTAGGTTAATTGTTTCACTATTAAAGCAGTGAAAATAAGCTCTAGCAAGAAATTGCCATTTTTAGGGTTATTTCTTTTAAAACTGACATTTTTGAGCATTGGAAAAGAAGTCTTTTTGTATCAATGCAGTTTTGCAATGGACTTTAATGACACTGAGGGCACCTATACACAAGCACCGGGACTGCTCTGATGTGCTGGAACTCCAGTGCGTCAAAGCAGCCTTGATTAACTGAGTCTGCTGGAGCATGGCATTTGCTGCGCTCCAGCAGCCTCCTGTGCCGCCTGTATCAGCGTCCCTGAGCTTAAAAATGGTGGTGGGGGTGCTTGACCCAAAGCTCACTGAACAAGCTTTGGGTCAAGTGCCTCCACTGCCATTTTCAGTCACGGAGATGCTGATACAGGCGCCACTTTAATCAGAAGAGCTCTTGGAACTGCTCTAATTAAAGTGCCACCCCCCGCCCCCGGAGCATGTGTAAAAGTGAGATGCCAACTGATACACTTTAAAAAATAAGAAACCTATCTACCTGATACTCGTTAATCTCTGTACTTTGGTGATAATGATCCTGATCCTTGATCTCATGCTTCTATTATCAGGGGTATTTCTCTGGTCTGTTGACTGCCTGATAATTTCATACAGCCAGTTTTTATTTACAATTAAGTTTCAAAAAAGCTTTTATATCAGCTATTTAGCTCTCCTGTGTCTGCTTCCCTCCCAGAGACCAGAAGAAGGGTACGATGATATCCAAAAGCTTGTCTATGTCTATCCCAACCACACGGTTGAGATAAAAATAAAAGATGATAAAATAAAAGATATCACCCACCAGAATTCTTGCCTGTCACTTGGTTGTCTACCAATCTAAGCTGTATTCATAGCAAAGGAGAAAGGTTTTATATGTTGTTGTTATTCCTCTGTGCCAGCTCATTCTCCCAGAGGTTAAATGACATTGGCTCATTTTGAAATTTGGTGCTACATTGACTAATTCTAACAATAAGATTTGAGATGGAGGTGGATGGTCTGATAGTCAGTGACTGATTAATCGATTAGCAAGACATTAGTCTCAATTTAGTTAAGGCCACAGAGGACTTTTTAAAATCAGTAACTTTAATTGTTTTTCCCTCTCATACATGAAGATTACATTAATATTTGCTAATTAACAATGATAATGAGAAAACTGAACATGTCTTGCTAATCACAAATACTCTATATTCTTAAATTAATTATTCCCTGAGTAAGGGAGACCGCCTTTTTGTTGGCTGTGTGGAAAACTATTATATACCCCATGTTTGTAACTCAAATATAGCTTTTTAAAGACTAACATCTTGGGTTTTTTTTAAAGGAAAAATGCATAGAAGTGTCAATGAATATGTATTTGCATACCTCACATCGCATATGCTGAAACAGCTAGGTAATAATCTGTTTTATGAGTGGAATCAAAAAACAGGTGTGTCATTCCGCAAGATGCTGAACACATTTGATTCCACTTGACTTGATAAGGTTCAGATGTTCTTTTCATCTTTTACTGTGATACTGATGTGTCTTGATGAGCTGAAGGTCCACACTATCTCTGTTGCCTTTGTGACAAAATGATGCTCAGTCATACATGCACTTGACATATTTCTATGAAAGTTATCAATATTATACTTAAAGTTGCTAACTACATTGATTAAAATAAAGAAAGGCTGAAAGCAGAGCTGCTGCTGAAGGTAGTTTTCATGTGATTTTTTTTTTTCCAAAGAAAATTGTATTTTGGTCAAAGCCATTTCATTTCTGAAAAATTGGTTCCTTTTGTCAGAATGTTTTTTCCCCTACCTTTTCCCCATCCCTTTTCCTTTTCACCCACTGTCACAAACCCCCAAAACATAACAGGGTTCTTGGGGTGTCATGAATGTTTTCTTGTGTTTTGTGGTATTGATATGGCATGTGTGGTCTCATTGGAAAGCCTATATTATTCTGTACCCACCTGCAGTGAGGAAGTCAACTCCTCTGTAGCAGGGGTGTCAAAGATCCAGCCCATGGAGCCACATCATCTGGCCCCTGGTGCTGCTTGGATGCCTCAGAGTGACCTACAGGCAGCATGTGGAGCATGCTAGGTGGCCCCACACACTGCAAGCAGCACCTGATCCAGCTCACATCCTGGAGCAGCCAAGCGGCTGCCGCATGCAGCACAGGCCCTGAGTGCCAGTCTGGGCTCTTCTGCATGCGGCAGCTGCCCTGTGGTTTTGGGGCCATATGGCATGGCCCTGGAGCAGCTGGAACACAGCTTGGCCATACACCATGCCTACTTTGGCTGCTTCAGGAAATTCACTGGGTCTGGAACATGGGACCAGTTTGTGGGTCTGGTCTGGCTCATAGATCAGCCTCGCACCACTCGTCCAACCTGAGAGGTTGGATAAGTTTGACACCCCTGCAAAGGCATCGGAGAGAAAATGCCTTTCAGGCCAAAGGTATGCCAGACATCAGAGGGATAGAAATTCTGGTGACTCATGAGCAGGCATCTGAGTTTTCTGTTTCCCATGTAAAAACCTGGATTTTACCCTTTAAAGGAGAAAAACAGAGATTTTCCCCTTTGAAGTGGAAAACCGCAGGTTTTCTCTTGCAGGCTGGCAGAGTTCCAACCTACCAGGGGCTGCTTGGGGCTGGGGGGAGTGGAGGCAGAGGGAGCCACATGCGTGTGCATGCATACACATACATGGCTGGCAATACAGACAGGCAGGGTGGTGGCAGCAGCCCTGGTAGCTGGATAAAGGTAAGCATATGGGATGGGGGGAGGCCTGGAGGGTCAGGGCTTGGGGACCGTTGAGGCACGGTCCAGACGCACCCATTGGCAACATGTCAGGGAAGCATGGGGGGACATGTGTCACTTCAGATTTCTGCACAGACAGCAGGGCGCAGAGCATGGGGCTGCAGCCTGGCTGGGTCGGTACTGGGCTGGAGCTGCCTCTGTGGCCCAGTGGGAGGGATCTGGCACAAAAAGGCGGAACAGTGTGTGGAGACTCGGTGCTGCCACTGCCAGCTCCAGGAGCCCCATGCCAACCATGCTGCCAAGCTGAGGTGCTCCCTACTGTTACCAAATTTGCCCATTACTTTGGGGTGTGCTCATTTATTAGGGATAGTTTCTAGGGTCTTGGTGATTCTGTCAATGTGCTGCTTGTGTTACTATACGGAGCTGTATTTCTCCCTTCTGCAAGCCCTCACCCCCAGTGGAGCTATCTTGCAGGACTCAATCTCAATGGAACTGGGTTCCTCCAGTCACCAAATCAGTCATACACACAAACACACACAAATTAACGTGACACGCCTGACCTGGCCGGGCTGATCAGCATGGACAGGCTGACACCCTCATATGCCAAGAATCAGTTCATAAGAGCAACAATAAAATGCAGTCAGACACAAGCACACAGGTAAACAGAATCCCTCTGAATCCGGCTGGGTGTCCAGCTGACACCCTCATGGGCCAGCATTCAGTTCATAAGGGCACGTCTGAGTCAAACTGGGTCAATCAGCCTGTACAAGCTGATCCCCTTATGTGTTTCAAACTCAGCACGTCCCAATCTTTGGCCTCTTGATGAGCAGACCCCACAATAATTTGGGCTTCACAGGGATCTTTAGCATAGGTAAAAGAAGCGTTGCTGCAGAGCACGGGAGGAAAGAGAAGCAGAGAAGGAAAAATATACCCAATTACTACCAGTTTGACTATAAAAGTTATTTATTGCTAAGCATATGAAATATATAATAGTACTAGTAGTAATAGACATGCAAAAGAAAAACAAACACCAACAATGACAATACTACCCTGGTTTCACTAAGTATTTGGGGAAACTTAGCTCAAGCTTAACTGATACAGTTCAGGTTCAGAAGTTTATGCCTAGAAAGAAGACAGAGAACGCTGGGATCTCAC